ATGGTTGGCGGTTCAAACTGACCAGCCACTCCATGGAAGGAAGACTGGGCAATCTACTTCCGTAAAGATTTACCATCTCGGAAACCTAAAGGAGGTCTCTATGAGTCAGTTATCAACTCAATGGCAGTGAGTTTGATTTGGTTTTTTGATTGACCAAATTGCCAATAGATGCCCAGACTCAACCCTAATTCTTTGGTGTTTTTCTGTAGATTTCAAGGTAAGATAGGGATCACATTTGTTCTCAAGATAAGGGCTTGATGTGGACATCATGCAGATCAGTTGCAGCTACAGGGTCATTGAGGTCCCTTTCAGCAATCCCAAGGGTGGGATTCCAGAGTGCTGGAGTTGTGTCATTCTTTCTTCCACTGCTTGATGAAGTGTCCTGTTTTCTTGCTGACACCCAGAGTACATCATTTTTATTGTGTTGTGGCTGGGTAGAATTTGTGTACCAGTTTAGCAGTTTTATTGATACATGTCCAAAAATTTTATTGTGGCCTTAAGTGTGCAATTAAGTTTCTCCCTTTTTTTAAAAAGCACCTTTGATGTGTTTGTGAAAAACACATTGTGTTTATTGGTCATGAAAATCACGTGCAACTTGTGCTTCTTATGTAATGTACAACTATCAGAATATTGTTCTTTGATTAAGGGTACTTTCAACTTTACAAGTTATTGATTGCATGTGTGTAAAGATATGTAATACCTATGTGTCTCCTTTTAAGAATTGATTTAAATATCAAAAACATCCAGCAAATCATGTCCCTATTAAGACCATTAAACTGAAAACCCTATAGCTCTCTCTAACAGCCTGCTCTCTCTGTTTAGTTGTATACTTTCTTTAGGAAGGGTGTTTTCTAACTGAACCAAAGTGTGATAATGCAGCTAATGTGTGGAGGTCCCAAGCAGATGTCTGTTCCTGACTCAAAGTAAATGTACCGTACTGTTCATATCACTATGAATATTTTATATCTTGAAGATACCAAATGCGATAAAACTTTATGTGTTCAAAATTCAGTTTAGAGTTTGAAGTATTTTGCTTAATTTTTAATGATACCCACTAGAACGTTGACTTTTCCAGGGGTTCACCCTTTATGTTCTAATAGTTTTTTTTTTTTTTTTAACTTTTTATTTATTGTGATTTGGGTGAAAGTTTACAGAGCAAATTCACTTTCAACAATGGACACACATTTTGTTTCGTGACATTGACAGCAACTCCCCACAATGTAACAGCTCTCTTCCCACTTCCTCTCTGTGGTTACCTTTTCCCTCTGTCTTTCTTTCCTATGCATTCCTGCCCTCCGTGCCATCTCCCTGTGTAAATACTGCCCTTCTGAGCTCCCATGATTGATTGTTCTAAGGAGCACGTCTACTTGGTCTAATTGTTTACCTGGTAAGCCAGTTGTTTGGCTGAAAGGGAAGCCATGGGAGTGAGTTCTATTCCAGGCCTGAAGGGTGACTCAGGACCATATTCTGGGGGATTTTACCAGTCTCTATCACACCACTAAGCCCAATCCTTTTTATGATTGAGTTTTGTTCCACATTTTTCTCCCACTCTAACCAGGATCTCCAACTTTGATCCTCTGAGTGGTTGGCAGTGGTAGCTGGGCACCATCTAGTTCCTCTGGTCTCAGAATTGAATAGGCTGAGATAACTATGGTCCATTAGTCCTTGGACTAATTGTTTCCATGTTA